CGTTAAAGACAATGAACCCCCCCCCCCCTCCTTTCACCAACCCCTACCCCACACACCACCCCGTGAAAGTAAACTCCTCTTAGTTACCTCCCCTTAGTTTAAAATCGTTTCAAACTAAATTATCTGCCTCTAATAGTCGTCACTAAACCCGGCTCTACGATTGTAAACATTTAGCGTGAACCACAGCTCACCAGACCATGTAGAGGTGGGGGGTGGTGGGGAGCGCGCTTACAGCTTGGTGTTTTCTATCGTCTCCAAGAAGAGAATTATATATATAGATACGACAAAGTAAAGATGCGTAAAACAGCGAAAACTAGTAATTATTTAGCACATTTATACTACTTCCTCTATTCTCTGTACACGAGAACGTTAAAAAATATGATATAGTCCTACTTCTTAACAGTACGACTAAATTATTCTAACTTCAGGGATTCCTTTCTGTTATACAAAAAAAAAAATAATTAAGACACGGAAAAAGAAATAAAAGCCACCCAACCCTAAGGACAGTAAAACATTTTTGCCAAACCTAGTCCCAACACGATAGGAAAGAATGGGAAGAACTTAAGAGATGGCAAACCTCCCAGTAGGAAAAAAATTTATTGTCAGAGTACCTTCTAGAAAGAGATGTAAAGACTTCAGCGCTGAGCAACGTTAGACTGTGAACAGAGATTGTAGGCGGGTTATTTTGATTGGGGGTGGGGGCGGGGGGACTGCGTGGGTGGTGGGTGTGGTGGATGGACAGGCTAACTTAACCTAACCTAAAGTAAACACACCCAGAGCTACTGTAGCGAAACTCAAGAATCGAAAGTTGTGTGAGGGAAAAAAATAGTTTCAAGTGAATCTGGAGTTAAAGTACGTTCATGTCCTAGTAGTTTGGTGACAGTAGGCCCCACTAGAGTTGAACGGTTCTCACACTGGTCATAGCTGGCTCCCATTCATATTTCAGGTAAGCTGGCTTATTATTTTGAAGTAAGAATTAATTCTATTTAAGGCCAATACAACCTTCAATTATTTATACCAGAAGTATATCAAAAAATTAAAACGACATCTACTACAAGTAAAATATCAGAAATAAAAAACTAAAATTAAACTTGGTATTAATGGTATGTTGGATTTTAGTTTTTCGAGAATCCTTATCTTGCGTGTTTCTAGTATTAAATCTTAAAGACGAATGAAATAGTGTGGTATAGAACAAAATACAATGTTCAGGGTACTGGGAATACAGTCAGAAGACGATTTAATGTACACGAACTCTATAGGAATACATGTAGTACTAGCTAGAGTATCTAGTTCATGGGGGAGGGGGGGGGCTGCACATGTAGCATTAGCTTTAAATCTAGCACGGTTAGTACTAGCACAGTAAACACTATCTACATTATAAACAAAATTATATATATATATATATATATATATATATATATATATATATATATATATATATATATATATATTATATAGCTATATCTAGGATATGTAGCACATGTAGTAAGTAGCACACGTAGCATTAGCTAGACTAACAAGGACGTCCTACAGTCACAAATACGAAAGGATATCCAAACGCTCTACCATTCGACCACACCGTCCCTTGAATGAATAAGTCACTTTTATAAATGCTGAATAGGTTCACTAATACAAACATCTAGATGCTAGACTATGATCTTGCATTCCCTTACATTAGTTTTTTGTCTATATCAGAGGCTGCTGTTCTAAAAACGGTTGAGTGTTTTCATCTGTTTCCTTTTATCCCTCAAGAAAAAAATATGCAGGATTTTCCTTGGCATATTTTACAGATTGCGTATCTTCTGCTCCAGACAAAATAGTTTTAGCAATTTTTAGGTATATTTTTTTTTAATGTCGTCAGTGTGCTGTGTTTATGGCAATCAGTGAGTAATTACGTAATTATAGTTCAAAGTGTTTTGTTTGGATATTATGCTTTGGTTAAAATAGTTCACATAGTTCATGATACTGGATTCACTTTTTATTTTATTCTCTTAAAGCGAGCACTGTGAAAACGGCATTTAATAAAACAGTCCCGCCATAACGGTCTCTCCCTAAAAAGCCCGGAAAAACGACCCTGATTAATCTGCCCCCGAATAAAAATAGGCCCAAAAATTTATAATCCGAAAAAATGGCTTCAGACACACACACAAAACGCCGACATAAGGGTCCGCGACAATTTAGCTCCAACAAAAAAGTCCCCGATATATATTGCAAATTTGTAACAAATTAATAATTCGCTGTTAAACTTTATTTTTCCAACACGATGGGGATTATACTCCGCAAAGCATAAGCTGTCGTCTTTAAATGACATCACGCTTATGCGGAAAATCTCCCCCACCTCTCTGGCCTCCTCATGTCACGTGACTTACTTAACCTCACCCTCTTTACTTCTTGTGGAGCGAATTGGTCTACTCATCACATTAAAACACACAAAAATGTCTTAAAGAAAAAACTGAAACAATTTGTTTCACCTTTTTCACCACTCCCCTCAGATCAGCGCGCCCCCAGTCCCTTTTAATACCCACAACCCCACACAACCACAAATCATTACCTACTCCAATCATTACCTCCCAACTACACACTCCAATTATCACCTCCTACATTCCCCGGTCAATCATTACCTCCCCATTATCCTTCAATCATTACCTCCCCACTTTCTTTTAAGCTTTTCTAGTATTATTTTATCCTCTACAAAAGATAATTTAATACACGCAAAAAGGCATGTTAACTCCCGTCCCTATTTTATTTTATGATGCTAATTAATAACATTTAGATACAACCTTCCCCTCCCCAAACATGCCTACTCTCTCTGCACCCCTCCCACCTTCTACTGTTAAAGCATTAGATAAATTAATACCACAGATAAGATTTTTTTTTTAATTGTGGGATAAAGATCATTTTACATTTAACAACAAAGTGTAAGCCAGGGGTGTCGATTCGTCTAGTTATTATAAACAGCAGACTTGTTTTCATAAGGAATAAAGAAAGCGTTATACAATATCCCTTAACACCAATCTTACCTTACAAAACTATAAAACCAACCATTACCCATATGACATAATATAACAGGTTACATTATCTTTATTTTACCTACCTGCCCCGTGTGTTTCATAATATATTTGATCTTCAAGAATAAAAAACAAATTTAAAAAACGTCTAAGGGTTGTAATCGAGAAATTTAAAAATGGTTATATTGATCTCCCTGAAGGCAGTTTTTTTTTGTTGACTAGCAAGAGTTACTTTTACTGACTAGCAAGTGTCGTTTTTGTTGACTAGCAAAAGTTACTTTTGTTGACTAACAATAGACCCAGTATTGAGGTGAGAGTAAGTAAAGTAGGGAAAGTTTCCTATTCAGACCTAACGATCCATAGGGCAGATAAAGTAGAGTTCACATATTTCTTAACCTCCACTGTCCTGACTGTAAGTGGTGAAACTAGATTAAATATATCACCGTATCTACGTCATCCGGCTGGACGCATAAGTCATTTGGCTGGCCTTACATGTGTCAGGTAGGTGTAGACGCCAGTGCGGTGACGTCACATTCCACGTCATATGCTACATGTTTTGTTTAATCCAATATCTTCTTTAAACACTAAATGTAGTCTCACCAGTAAAAAAAAGATGAAAGATAAGAACATTTCAAATTAGATATTTGGTAATTTTGGTATGGGTATAGAGGGCACGTGTAATGATTTACTGGAATGAGTTTACGTGGAAGGGGGGGGGGGGGTTGGGCATTTGGTAAATATGTGCGATAACAGATGCCGAGTTGTGTATACATTCGGCTACACATGCGGGAGGTCATTTCTGGACAATGAACAAGTTTTCATTATTTCATGTATTTTTTAATGCTTTGGTTTAATTTTTGTTTGTATTGTTAATCAGCGTAAGATGTTTACAATTTTTCACATAACCCCCCCCCCCCCCTCGCCCCACCCCGGTCATGTTGTGCAGAAGTCCATGGTGCACTCATTAGGATGTACAACAAGATTTAACTATCTACCCATAATTTACCCATCCACCCTAGTGTACATACCCACTCTAGATTTACCTATCCACCATAGAATAACTTTCCACGCAAACGTATCTATCTACCCTAGGTTTACCTTTCCACCCAAGACGTATCTATCCGACATAGATTTACCTCTAGGTCTACATATCCGCCCTAGATTTTCCTACCTGGAATTCCTATGTCCCAGGTACAGACCATTTACATCCACGTCACACCCTGCTCGTCAAAGGTAAATCAATACCTGCTCCGTTCATTCAATGCTCACTAATCTACATACAGCATCATTTGCTTCGTCTTGCGCAAGACACAGAAACTGTATTAAATGTTAGTGTTTTAAAAAAAAATAATGTTACCAGATGTTATCAAGTTTCTTGGCCAAGCTGGGTACAAAGCTGGGTAAAAAAACAGTAACACAATCTACATAGGGTGTATACAAGGGAAGGTGGTGAGATTTATAGACAGAAATTTTGCACACGAAGGTGGAAAAATATTTTTGCTGAGAACGTGTATACTGACTCATACTATCAAGGGTTAGCTAGATACCAGAGGTTTATTAGGTGAGTACTTATTTATCAACTCTTGCCTTAGGCAGGGCCAATTTAATATACTAATGTATTTACTCATTAATACTTTGGATTCCTCATAAAGAAACACACCTTCAAAATTAGAGAACGCTTTTTACTATTGACTTAGCTAACTAAAATTACATTAAAAAATATTCTACTTGATTCGCTATGAAATCTTTAAGTGCTACATTTTGAAAGGAAATCGTTAAGTTCTACATTTTGAAAGGAAATCGTTAAGTTCTACATTTTGAAAGGAAATCGTTACGTTCTACATTTTGAAAAGAAACAGTTTCACGAAAATTGATAATATTAAAAAAAATATTTTCGTCCTTGCCAAGGTAATAGTTTTGTATTTCGATCCGAAATTTTCATAAATAAAACAATCGCAGTAATTGATTGTATATTTCCACCCACAGACCACCATGGTGTTTGAGCTACTATCGGATGTTGGAACCACAACATGGCTGGCCGTCCTGCTCGTCTTGGTCCTGTCCTGGTACTGGACGGCCAGCCAATCAAAAAACCTCCCACCGTCACCTGGGATAGCTTTACCTTTCATCGGACACATGTATCTGCTGGAGAAGAATCCCAGAAAACAGTTCGAACGGTGGGTCAAGCGGTTCGGTCCGGCGTTCAGCTTGAGGTTTGGGATGAACCAAGTCGTGGTGCTCAACACGTACGACGTGCTGAAAGAGGCGCTGGTCAAGCAAGGTGACCACTTCTCTGACCGGCCAACAACGGGATTTGTCGCGGCCAATCTATCCTTTCACTCCAAGGGCGTTATTTTTTCATCAGGCGCCAACTGGAAAGAACAGAGAACGACATCACTTGCCATTTTGAGAACATTTGGCATGGGGAAGAATATTTTGGCTGATAAAATCTCTTTTGAGGTTTCTAAATACATTGAAGCACTTTCTGAAAGTGGAGGAAAACCTACGGACATCAGGACTCTCACCAACATCAGCTTCTCAAATGTCATTTGTTCAATTATTTTTGGGAAAAGAATGAAATTTAACGATCCAAAGTTAATTGATTTGATAAAATGTTTAAACTCAGCAATCGCTTCTATTTCCTGTATCTCTCTATTCAATTTCCTACCGGCTTTACCGTTTTTTGCCCTTTGACTATTTTAAAGTCTGAAATGCTTATTACAAAGTTAACCGCGAACCAGAATGTCCGCTGAAAATGATAGATGAAATTAAAAACACTCCAAACACTGAAAATTGCATCGATGAATCTAGAACAAGTCGGGGTGAACCATGCTCCCATCATTCAGAACAGATCCAGACTTAAATACCTGACAGCGTTTATCATGGAAACACAACGTGCAATAAAGTCTCATCCACTTCTGCAATCAGGATGCAACTGTAGCCGGGTACACCATCCCCAAGGGGACACAAGTCTTGCCTTACCTGGACGCCGTCCTGATGGATGTAAAAATCTGGGGCGTAACTTCCGTCCAGAGCGTTTTCTTGACGATCAAGGCAACATCCAAAACAGAGGAACTCATTCCTTTCTCCTTGGCCGACGTGTTTGTTTAGGGGAATCTTTAGCCAAGATGGAACTGTTTCTGTACTTATCTTCCTTGTTTTATCGTCTTGAAATCCTTCCAGCTAAAGATAACTCCATCCCACCAATGAAAGAAACATTTGGCGTGGTTGTTTCCCCTCCACCTTTTAAAATCCGCCTCGTGGAAAGACAACTTTTAACATCGATGGTGGAGAGGGGGAGACACCATGTATCACCTTACCTGGTGCTAAACGATCATATGACACCATTGAAGTTTAGCATACAATAATATTTTAACATAACAAAAATAAAATAAGCATAAAAATTACAAATTCTTTATTAATGATAATATAAGATCGTATTACAGTTAGAGACAAAAATACATCAGCACTATAAATACATTGTTGACAGCGATACAAAGCTGCTAGACAAAAACATAAAACGTAAGACCATATTTTTTAAACATCTTTCACCTAACTTTATTATTCTCAACCATACGGACATACAGACACAAATTTATAAATGCCAATGCTCCTTTTCATTTTTAACGAAAAAACTCCTAATTAATAATCAATACTTTCATCTTGATTTGCGACAAATATTTGCTGACTAATATTTACTTAGGGTGACAAAAAGATACACATTTTTCCCCTGCGTGTTTATTATGTTGGAATTTAAGATTTTAAAAAAAATGTATTTTACATCAGATATTTGCAAAAACAAGAGTGATTTTTGGTATGTTCATGTTTGTTAGTGTTCGGAATTTCAATTACATATTTAACTGACAAGATTGTTACGTTCATGCGAGTTTGACTGACAATTTTATTTAATTGATACATGTTTTGCTGAATAACTTTGTTACAGTTAAACGTGTTTTGCCAATAATTTTGTTAAATTAATATGTCTGTAACATATATTTTTGCTTTCTAGAATAGTGTTGTCGGTGTAAAAAAAATGTTAATACTCTTTTTTTTTTAAAACAAAAACGTATCTTAAATTAAACAAAGAATCTATAACATGACGCCTCGTGAATATGTAAACAAAATGTATACATTTCAGGTAAATAAATACAATTTAATCTCAAAAATGAAATCTATTATAGATGGAATATTATATTCTACAAAACAAATGGAAGAGGGGGGAGTAGCAAATGACGTCTTGTTTTCTTGGACGATTTTTTATTTCTTACACACCCACCCAACCCCCTCCTCCCCCCTTCCCGTCTTCCGCAATGTCATCCATCGCAATAAATGTCAAAATAAATTCTAAAATTCTAATATGCTAAAGTGTGACGTTACACTTTCTGAAATCTAGACCCCCCCCATCACACTCCACCCCGTGTTACACCTCCTCTCGGAATCTAACGCCCTATCCTTAACAGTGTGCTGTCATTTCAAGACTCGCCCTAGGTAAGGATGATACATCATATTCTTCTATAAGCCAGATCATATACTCTGAACTGGTACACTATTTTTTCTATCTACCCGAGGTGGGAAAGTAGAACACACAGTGTAACCCGGAAGACCAGGGTTTGAATCCCGTTCTTGAGTCTACGCAGCTCTTATGAGTACCCAACTCAAGTCATTAAAATTGGTTTAAAGATAATGGTGACGACACTATGTTTACGATTTACTAATACATATGAACAAAAACTCTATATGTTCTACTGGTCTTCAGGTACGAATGTGTGTTTTATTGGGCAACATTTTGAGCAAAGATCAGGAACTGACGGTCCAGCGAAACATTAATCCTCTGCTCATAAACAGAATAAACCAAATACACTATACCTACAACATAAATGTGTGCTTTTATTTATCAAAACAAAACTTTGTTTATAATAAAAACATAAAGTATAGCCGTAAAAAAACAGGCCTCTACTGGTGTTGAAAACACACTATCGAAAACTCTAAAATTACTGACACTCTAATTTAAGAGCTCGATAATGCCATTAATGCCATTAATTTATTAAGAGATTTTTCATATTATTGTTAAGGAGATCTAAATATAAATCGAGGTTAAATGTAAACAGGCAGTTAATGAATAAAACTATTCTGCATAATATTTGTATAACTTTGACATTTTAAGTTTTTTAATAAGTTATTGTGTTTCTGAATGTATCTTTTCACAACTTAATTATTTATAGCTAACCTTTAAAAGCAGGCTGAGCTAGAAGTGGGGGCAGGAACTGAGTGTGGTTGGTGAGTTGGGGAAACAGTTTATTTCCATATGTAATATTAAAATATATGTTTGGAGCGAATATTTTATGAGGCATTTTGTTGGAAGTCATTTTGTCATAAGCCAATATGCTGTGAGCTAATATGTCGAGGGCCGTCTTGAAGAAGGCCAGTATATCCCAATCCAATTTTCAGAAGCCTTTTTTACGCTAGCCTTCCTGTCAGTAAGCCGCATGTCTGGAGTCATTATGTAATGAGCCCAATTGCTGGTACCTGTTTTAACGGAAGCAAACATGTCAAAGGTATTTGTAATGAGTAAAGTTGTCGCAGGTCCTTTTTTATTGATCGTTTTTTGTGGAGACAATTTATAATAAGGCTGTTTCTTTAGTGCCCCTGAATTTTCACTCACAATAAAAAGGAAAAAAGATTATTAAATATTATTTTTATTTGAAAAGATTATCTATTAAAAAATAGTTTTTTATAGCGAATATATTTTGAAAAAAAATAGTATAAATAAGTAAACTTAATAACTTTACAATACAAAAGACTGTCGGTGATTGACCCAGTTAACACAGACAAGGACATTACAAAGTTAACTTTCCTGGCTACAAATTTTACCACGTAGACATACATTACTTTGAAACTCTCATAACCCCCCACAAAAAACAGAGAAGAAAATATCTTCTCGCATTTTAAATATTAGTAATCAGATGTAAAAAAAAGAAAGGAAAATTACTTTTTATCAAATATTGCTATTTCCATGGATAAATACATGAGTGTTGTGTAAGTAGAATTTACATAATATTATTTTACATCAGCTAATTATTGAGAGTGTGGTGATGTTTAAGTAATTTTTTATTGATAAATATCTCTATGTCTCTATAGTGGATATATATTGATCGTTGACAACGTATATAATACGAAATAGTATTATTTCACAGACTACTTGCCTCTAAGTATTGTTCCTATTTTAAGATTGTTCTATGCTTTCCGTGTATATGATTTCGTTCTCTTTAAAAAGTATCTTTGTATAGTATTGTTGTTTCATAGGGTGTATAGCTAATAAGCAGTCTTCTAAAAAATGTTTACACTTTAAATATCTTTGTATTGTGATGGTAGGGTACAGTTTTTATAGACCAAACAATGTTCTAAAAATAAAAACAAAACCACATATTAACTTTAACAAAACAACATATCCCTGCCCGTCACCAGTGCAGGGGTATGTGCTGCAAACAAACATCTCCCAGAGTTTTTTGTCTTGTGCCATCTTCTCAATTAGACTCCTGGTGAAGTCCATCTTTGTTGTTTTAGCCTTTATGTCCTTAATGTTACTTGGTCAACCGTTGTTTTGTTGGGTTTTTTTTGCGTATTCCTTGGGGACAGAATTTTCTAAAAAAATGTCTGTTTGGCATTTATATAACAGTTCAGTTTTACAGTTCATAATTTTTTTTATGATTTAGGTAGTCAAATATTTATTTTTTCACGTCGGCTTGTCTTTCTACGCAGCGGATTTCATAAGGTGGAGGGGAGACAACCACGCCAAATGTTTCTTTCATCGGTGGGATGGAGTTATCTTTAGCTGGAAGGATTTCAAATCGCTGGAACAAGGAAGATAAGTACAGAAAAAGTTCCATCTTGGCTAAAGATTCGCCTAAACAGATTCGCCGACCGATGGAGAAAGGAATGAGTTCCTCTCTGTTTTTGATGTTTCCTTGTTCGTCAAGAAAACGCTCTGGACGGAAGTTACGTGGGTCGCCCCAGATTTTTTCATCCATCAGGACGGCGTCCAGGTTAGGCAAGATTTGCGTCCCCTTGGGGATTGTGTATCCGGCTACAGTTGCATCTTGATTGCAGAAGTGGATGAGACTATATGGCACAATACTGGCAATACGTTGTGTTTCCATGATAAACGCTGTTAGGTATTTTAGTTTCGGTCTATCTTGTATAGTCGGAGCGCGGTTCACTCCGACTTGTTCTAAAATCTCCTGGTAGATTTTTTTCTGAACTTCTGGATTATGGAGCACAAACAACAAGCTCCACAAGATGGTGGTGCTGGTTGTCTCCGTACCTGCGGCAAACAGGTTGTCAATAACTCGAGCTAAATTAGTCTCGTCCAGTAAAGTGGATTCACCACGCTTTTCTTTATCTTTCATTTCGCTAATATAAGCGGCGATGAAATTTTCACTGTTGGTTGAGTCGTGTTTAATTTCATCAATCATTTTCTGCGCGAAAATTTGAGTTGCACTTAAGTTAGCAATCAGCTGCTTCGATTTCAAAGGGTCAAACGGCAAAAGCCTTAATGCTGGTATAAAATGAAGTAGCGATGTACCCGAAACAGAACTTACTGTTAGATTTAAGGCATTTATCAGTTCAATGAACTTTGGATCATCGAACTCATACCTCTTGCCAAAAATTATTGAACAAATTATATTCGAGACGCTGACGTTGGTCAGAGTCCTGATGTCTGTAGGTTTTCCTCCACTTTCAGAAAGTGCTTCAATGTATTTAGAAACCTCCACAGAGATCTTCTCAGCCAAAATATTTTTCCCCATGCCGAAGGTTCTCAAAATGGCAAGTGATGCGGTTCTCTGTTCTTTCCAGTTGGCGCCGGATGAAAAAATAACACCCTTGGTATGGTCGGGTATGTTTGCCGCGGCAAAGCCGTTCGTTGGCCGGTCAGAGAAGTGGTCACCTTGCTTGACCAGCGCCTCTTTCAGCACGTCGTACGTGTTGAGCACCACGACCTGGTTCATCCCAAACCTCAAGCTGAACGCCGGACCGAACCGCTTGACCCACCGTTCGAACTGTTTTCTGGGATTCTTCTCCAGCAGATACATGTGTCCGATGAAAGGTAAAGCTATCCCAGGTGACGGTGGGAGGTTTTTTGATTGGCTGGCCGTCCAGTACCAGGACAGGACCAAGACGAATAAGACGGCCAGCCATGTGGTGGTTCCAACATCCGATAGTAGCTCAAACACCATGGTGGTCTGTGGGTGGAAATATTAAGTCAATTATTTCCCTCGTTTAAATTTTTTTTTATGGAATTAAATCGTAAATTACTTTATTTTTGGACTTTTTAACATTTGTGTATGTATTTAATGTATTATCTTATGTGCAATTAAAATTTGTTGTACATTATTTTTATTGTATGCTTTTTTTTTTTCCATAAAATAAATTTGTTTTATTTGAGTATCCAGTGCGCCCTTCGCACATTACTGCGATTTGAGAAGAAAGAGAACTTATGGACATTCTTTATGATAATATTAAATTTAAACTGTTTCATCTATTGAAAATCTCTATTTATTTTCAAATGAAAAACATTTCAAAAATTTTAAATTTATTTCTTCCAGATCACCCAATCACATGCTGGTGCCAGTGTGAGAAGTGCGGACTAATCGCATCCTACACCTGAAACATTTTGTTTTTGCGGGGGGGGGGGGGGTTACTCTACGCGTTACCGTTTGTGTTTTAGTTTCTTGGCCGCTCTTTTCTCGAATTCGAATTATTTAAATAAAAACCAAAGCGGTATTATATTTTTTGTATCTTAGTTGTTGTAGCGTAGTGTTTTCTACATTAAAAACCGTACGCCACACAGTGTTCTGTGTGAAAACCTTCAGTGTATGCTTGTTATTTTCCCCAATTGTGAGGTACAACACCCTTCAGCGACCACTTACGTGAAGTTGCGAGGCGCTTTTGTGAGCCACAGGTTAGATTAATGCCAAAAAGCTGCTCAGCATCACTCTGACTAAACTAGCCCCTTTATTTATTAGAAATAGACTAAAACAAGGCAACTCATTACAAGAAATAACTCTGAAAGTTTCTATGAAACTACAGCTGAATTCCATGCATGTTTTTTGGTCTTGTTATATTCGAAATGTACACACTGCTGTAAAGTGGACCACATTTCACCATTCAGTCCGGCATTTTGTAAACTAGGCGATAGTTTTTTAGCTCCCCTTAAAATACACACTGTGCGATCTTTAAGCAAGGGGACCTTTACTTTACAAATAGTTAAATGAAAATCTATATACATAAAAAGCAATGTATATGTGTGTGTGTGTGTATTTGTCTTTATGCATTACTACACCTTTCAACTATCACCGTGAACCTTTTTGAAGCTGTTGAGAATACACATGGGAAAATTTCTATGAAGAAAAAAAATTAAATTCACAAGGGTGACGCCCGGCAGGGCGCGATTTGATTTTTCTCTATAAGCGGTGTATAAATATAAAAGTCGATTGCGGTTTGACACCGTTCATCCAATCGCCCTCAAAATTTGGGGAGTTGATTAGAACACTCCAGGTGAGATTTCCGTCCCAAAATCTTTTTTATTTTTGCAAGAGCGGCGCCTCGGGAGGGTGTGATTCTTCTCTATAGACGGTATATTAAAAAGATGAGAGTCCCCGGTCTTTTCCGTAAGCGCTATGGAGCCTACGTTCGTTTTAAACAGCGAGATAGACTTGGATAAGATTGGGCGTTATAGTTGTTCGCTAAACATAATCAGGCACGTCCCCCGGTGCCCCGGCATGGTCGGATTTTAAACCCCGGGCTATCCTGTGAGCGACATGGCACCTACGTTCCTTTTAAATATTGTGAAATACTATGCATAATATTGGGCGTTATAGTCGTTCACTAAGCATAATCTGGCACGTCCGCCGTCTCTTTTAAACATGAATCAAGCGCAGGCATTGTTTACATTTAAACAAAGTCACGCGTTTAAGAATATGGGATTGGTAAAGCATTGATGAAACTCTCCTAATATATTTCTTCAGATTTTTTTTGTCTTTTATACATTGCTACATCTTTCATCTGATCGCCCTGAAACTTTGAGAAGTTGTTAAGGATTATCTTCAGGAGGTTTCTGGGAAAAATAAAATTCAATTTCGCATGAGCGGCGCCCAGGCAGGGTTGAACTTAGCGCCTAGGGCTATCCCATGAACGCTATTGCGCCTACGTTAGTTTTAAACAGTGATATAGACTATGAATAAATCGGGCGTTTAGTCGTTCATTAAATTGAATCAGAGATTTGTTTCCTGGCGCCCGACACGTTGCAATTTGGCGCCGCAGGCTATCCCAGGTTTTGATAGAATATGGATAAGAAGTAGTATTATAGTCGTTCACTAAACTGAATCAGGCACGGGGTGGGCACGTTAGTATTATTATATCGGTGACACACCTTAGTGAATTTATTTATATATATATATATATATATATATATATATATATATATATATATATATATATATATATATATATATATATACAGAGAGAGAGAGAGATGCGAGAAGGGAGAGTCAACCCAGTGTCCGAATGAAAAACGGGCTGTCGGCTGCAATGCACAACACACATACTCCGATAGGCCTACCCCATGCTGCATATTCCTACTGAGTCATACATTTGTCATGTTGAAGAGGGCGTGGGGAGTTGTAAAGAGTTGTTTTCATGGACTTTTGTGGTAGGTTAGTTTGGTTTAGCGCTAAGTTCTGAACATTTAAAGATATTTGCATAACACTATTATAAAAAATGAAAACCAAGCTGTATGCACGTTTCTAAACAGAACATAATATTAAATACCTAAATCGATTTATTTAATTAAATAATAAGGTAAAAAATGCAGTTATTTATTAGTATTTCTTGTGTACATTTTTATTTATTTTTATTTTGCCCCTTTTTGAGAAAATGTATTTCCTGTGTTGTGTGCGTCGTCAGCAATGAATAAAATAAGGAATAACTTGTTTCTTCACATTCTCGAAATGGAAAATCTTCTTTAACTTGAGTTTCAAAAATTAAATTAAATTCATACTTAAATTGGCTATCAATGCAAGAATTTATTCAAACTTGTGTCTTTTTTTTTTAAATTTTTGTTGTTATTAACTTGATTTTCTTTTTCTTTAAACAGGGTCGGGTACCGAAAAAATTAATATAGAATGTATCTTCCTTTAATGTCTAAGATATAAAATTACTCACCTAGTGCATTGGTCTTTAACTGGGAAGTTTCAAATCCCTGCTTGTACACGCTTTCTAGGCGATATTAGTTCTCTTCGTTTGGGAAATTTTTTACACTAACTCACTCCGCCGCCTTTTATATACAAAAATGAAGGTCATGTTATAGTTTTTGAACCTGTTATTTCAACAAATCAACTTGCGATAAAAGGAGTTTAAAAATAATTAAAATTGTGTTACGGTTTTTGCACCTTGCAATGTGTGAAGGTTGTCAAATGAGCTTTCAGTAAATGGACCAGGTACTGTTTCACCTTAGTCATGCAGGGTACGACTTGGTGTTTGGTGAAATCTGGTCTGTGTTTACCAAGGGCGAGGAGATACGCGGCATTGAAACGTAAGCGGATTTCATTGGTGAATCTAGTCATACTTCCTGTTGTGGGGACCATGGAACCCTGACCTACATATCGCTTGGCAAAATGTTAGGGAGGAGGTAGGGGAAAGGGCAGTGGGCAATGCAATACAATTAAATGGGATCAAAAAGTTTTGACACAAAATAAAGCAAAACAAATTAGAGAAATCAAATACTTGAGATGCATAAGTTCTCTCTCTTTCTCTCTCTCTCTCTCTCTCTCGTTGGATATATATATATATATATATATATATATATATATATATATATATATATATATAGGCTATATATATATATATATATATATATATAGCCTATATATATATATATATATATATATATATATATATATATAAATAGTCTGAATTTCTATTAGCATCACTACATGATTTATACGATTAGGCGACCTGTAAAACGGGGCAGTGATACTTATTGAATCGTCATTTAAACTACTCAAATGGTGTTTATGTGATCTGAATCGCCCTAAGATCACTATAGTGTCTTCGTTGTTTTCTTTTTAAAGAGCGCTTTACGTGAGTGCTACGGTGGGCAACAACAATCGATGACTGAACCGACATAGCCCGGTGCCTTGGAGCCCCTGAAGTAGCTTGATCGGTGGCTCCGTCCAGCGCATCCTGACACTCTTTTAAGTGTTAGAGGAGGAATGTTGTACCTCAACCATGTGAAAGGTAATCAAATTATACTACACTGTAAATCTGCTTTTAATTTCTGATGTAATATGCACCAGTAATTGCAACAAAGATAGCAATAGGTGTGCACAGAAAACGAGGTCACGCTTTAAAAAAAACATCATTAGTAACAATTGAATGTTATCAATCATTTATCCTTGAATTTCTTTTCTTTCGAGGTCGCAGGAGCAAGCAAAAGGGTGCGCTTGTATATATATATATATATATATATATATATATATATATATATATATATATATATATATATATATATATATATATATATATATATATATATATATATATATATACCCCGGGCCATTTATCTAGGTGAGACAACTCCAAAATCATACAACTACTGCCTCGCAGGATCTTCTTGGTTTGGACAAAGAATATGGAAGCAAATCCAAAAGGAGAAACATACTTAATTGTGCTAGAAGAAAATCCCTTTAAAATCTAAAATTAAGAATGAAAAAGAAGAAAGAAAGTAGTAGAAATAGTGATTGGATTGGAGTTAAGGAAAAAAATCATAATAAATGTTTTAATAACAAGCTTTTTTTTGTAATAATGCACTTAAAAAAAAAGAAAATAAATTATACACTACCATTTGAATAACTATAAAGAAAAGCGTGAGTCACTTTAGTACCTATTGGATACCTTTACTAATATTAAGGAAGAGACCCACGCTTTACTTTATAGTTATTTAAATAGTAGTGTATAAATTTCTTTTCTACTTTCTAGTGCATTATTACATAAAAACATGTTATTAAAAAGTTTTTTATGATATTTTTTTCAGTACTTTAAAAATTTTAAATTTACAATAGAATAGCATGACTAAAAACCATTGCGCACCTAATGAACGTGATGACGCGTGTATAATAGTGCGAAATAATTGGGTAAGACTGCCTATTAATTTGGTTAAAAATTTTAATTAATTCATAAAACAATTATTACGCAACCAATTACGTCAAATTTAATGTCATATTTCATTGTCTTTATATCTTCACCCACGTAATAACTATAAATCGAATATATCAGTTAGAAGTGCCCGAACTTTCACTTGGGCGACAGAGGAAGTCAGTTAAATAAAAGCTTGTACAAAAAATCATTTAAAAAACGTTTTAATAACGAGCTTTTATATACTAATGCACTAAAAATTAGAAAATAAATAAGTTTCTTTAAATATACAGTAATACACCACTATTTAAATAATCATAATGAAAAGCGTGGGTCTCTTTATTATCTATTAGATATCTTTACCAATATTTACGAGACCCACGCTTTTCTTTATATTTATTTAAATAGTAGTGTATTACTATATATTTAAAGAAACTCATTTATTTTCTACTTTTAAGTGCATTAGTTTATAAGAACTTGTTATAAAAATGTTTTTTTTATAATTTTTTCCATACTTTAAATTTTTAATGCAATACAGTTGCATGACTAAAAACCATTGCGCACCTAATAAACGTTATGACGCATGTATAATATTGCGGAATAGTTTGATGAGACAGACTACTAATTTGGACACAATTTTAATTAATTCATAAAAAATTAATTAGGCAACTTATTAAGTCAAATTTAATGTCATGTTCATTGGCTTCATGTCTTGACCCACGTACCAAATACAAACCGTATCTGTCAGTTAGAAGTACCCGTAATTTCGCTCGGGAGTTTTGATCTTGCCTGACTACAGACAGAGACAGTGATTTAAAAAAAGATTGTAAAATGATAGTGATTGGAAAGCAGAAGAGGAGGTAGCAATTGGAGTTGATTTGCGGTATTTTTACATAATGTTTGTGCTCAATTTGTAGTTGCCATTTTGTCAGGATTTATCTCGTCGGATACTAATCCGTCGGGATAAAGTTAGATAAAAACCAGTTAGGCGTGAGCATATATGTCTTCAGCCTTTTAAGGGTAGGCACCACGGATAGAATTTTTTTTTTAATTTAACACATTTCTGGGTATTTAATAAGTACATATGTTAGTAGTTGTTAAACTATTGACAAAAATAATATGTGGCCGTCAATAGCAGTACTGGTTGCCATGGGAACCGCGAAAAGGTGTGAAAACTAACACCTTTTCAAATCGCTAAGGCTTTGTTCCCATAAGCAATTTTGTAAAGCGGATGAAACATTTAGATTTACGAAACCAAACTATACATTTCTACGTTTGTTCATTGCGATAGCTTGTACTCAATTTTTATTACAAATTTTTACGTAAATTTAAGTACAAAAATTAGGGGGTGGTATAACATAAGTATTGATATTTTCTAAAGTATTGTCGTAAACTTAATGTACAAACGTAGTTTTGTAGATGGTATAATGCTAAATGCATGTGGAATGTTTCAGTGCTGTAAGACTAAGGGTTCCAAAGCCTTAGCGATTTGAATGTTGAATTTTGAGTAAAAATGCAAAGTTGAGAAAACGTGAAAAGAAAGGCAGAAAAAGGCACTGTGCGTTTCCTCTTATAGCAAACAGAAAATGACTTCTTGTTATGTGTGGAAGAACCATTTGGCTAATAAAATACGCGTTGATTCATGTTGTAGTTTTAGATAGATTTTTCTGCGTAAGCAGAAAATATGCATACAACAGAAAATAAATTAATGACTGTTAAGTCTTAAACATCCTATCATTTGATTGTTATTCTCAGAACAGCTATCATCAAACCAGATTAAGTTTTGTTTGTTAGCCGGTCTTCTCACGTCAATAGAATGTCTATTGTAGCTTACACAAGTTTATTGCCTTATGATAATAGCCTACTACACAACGCTGGGTACAACGCTTGAGGTTAGACACGCCCCTTCACCCCACCCCACCGCTGGATAGTGCGTGAAGAACCGATGAGCCATAGATTACCAATGTTCATTCAACCGTGAATAACATGTCTGTGTAGATAGGGTCGAGTACAAGGCCTAAGTGAATGCTATCAACTATCCCATCTAGTATTTCCATTCGTTGCTAGCAAACCCTGTACGGAGAGATGGGCGGGCATACACATTAACACATGTGTCGTATACAGTCCGGTGTAAAGCCTGATGAACGCGTTCAAGCCTATCACAGCATGCCGTAACAAGATTATAAAACAGCCGTTGGTTGAATGGCGAGAAGGGGATGAGAAGGATAAAGGGGATGGACTTAGTACATTCTTCAAACTGATAGACATGTCCATGACGCATTGTTTCAGCTTAGTATAATAAAGCGTACGAAACAGTGTTTAATAGTGTTCCAGTGACAATCAACAGAACATTTGTTGGTAAAGTTTCAATTATTAAACTTAATGTTGTTCTATAACTTTAAAACAACAAATAGAAGAGTATACGCTAATGATGTAAACAAACAAGACAGGTGATTGTTTTGTTTATCTAGAAACAAGATGGCTGCCTTGCACACGTGGTTAGTTGCAACCTATCGCAGATTATTTTGATTTACTGTACTATTGTATGATTGGTCAAACGTATCAATGAATCTCTTCCCATTCATAATTTTTACGCACATGCCCATATATGGACTTTGACATCAAATTTTACTTGGTAGAAAACAACGTTTATCCCACTTATTTGTAGAACAAAAGAAAAAGTCACTACACCAGCGGGTACACGAGTGCTTGGCCCTTAGATTGCTGTAAAGTTTATGGTGCCTCGCGGGCAATAAATGATGTAATACCCGCTCGAAGATAGCCGCTGTCCACGTAGTAGTGTGAAAACTTGCCGGGGGGTACCATGTTTCACATGGCAATAAACGGATAACCGTAAGGCGTAGAAGTCCGAAATGTTCGGGTTAGATAGATAAAAGGTATTAGTACCGAATTAAGAAATAAAAATTTTGGGGAGCAAAATTATTTTTTTATCGAAAACATGGGTATCTTGTATCCTTAATTCGATGCATTTATGTCGTAATCCAACCTGTCAGAAGCTTTTTTGTATCGAACAATGATTTCGGGAACCGATATATCAATAGCCCATTTATAGGGAACATTACTGTCTCAAGACAACACGTCTGGGTAGCTTTTTTTGTTGGG